CGATCAGTAGCCCAAGGCCTATTACTACAAGGCCAGACATGCTGCCTCCCTCCAGCCCTTTAACCAACCGTTCCTCCCAAAGCACCCACCACCTTTCTCCTGAGTTCAATAATTCACTGCAGTGGCCACACAGAACTCACAGATTAAGGGGTTTATTAGGGAAGCACCAGGTTACAGTTCAAGTTCAGGGAAAACGCTCAGTCTCTCTCCCAGCCCACAGTCTCTTTCCTAACAATCTCTCACAATCTCTCTCCCAACAGTGACTGTCCCTCAGTGTCTCACTCAGCAATGCATGTCTCTTGCGTCTCTTTCCCAGCAGCACGTCTCTGTCAGGGGCGCGTGTCTCTTTCAGCAGCGTGTCTCCTTAACCAGCAGTCAGAGACTTCTGCCTCTAGGAGGCCTCCTTTTGAGCCTGGCAGAGTGGCCAAACTAACCAATCATAACATCAGAATTCTAAGCACCTGAGAGAGAGCAGGAACCTCCCAGAACATTTCTTTGTGTTGCACCCAACAGAAATACCCCAGGTGGATAACTTTTACAATCAGGAGGTCCTCAGTTGCTCACAGCAAACTCCACCACAGAGTTTACAAAGACTTATTGCTAGAAAAGCCACACTAAGTAATTTACTACAGCGCAGTATTAAATCTGAGTAGTGAGAGAGGATATTCTTGCCTTGTTTTCAATCAGAGAAAGAAAGCATCCAGTTTGTCACTATTAAGTATGATGCTAGCTGTAGATGTTTTGTAGATGCTCTTTATCAACTGAAGACAGTCACTCTGTTTCTTGTTTGCCGAGCGTTTTGTTTTTGAATTGTGATTTGTGTGAAAATTTGCAGAGCCAATAGGTTTTCTGTACAACAATTCATACACAGTTCAACAATTCATAAAGCACCTAAATGCCGCTTTTGATTCGTGACATTGATTGCAATGTCCACAATGAAACAGCACTCTTCCTACTTCCTCACTTTGTTTACCTTCAACCTTCTTTCCAATCCCTTCCTGCCTTGTGAGCTTTATCTCTGAGCAAATGCTGCCCTTTGGCTCTTCTATGTTGTTTAAATGAAAGTGTACCTCTCTGGTGTTACTGTTTACAATTTAGGCCTGTCTGTCTTTTGGCTAAAAGGTGAGCCACAGGGGTGAGTTCACTTCCAGGCTTGAAGGGTGTCTAAGGGCCATGGTCTTATGGGGTTGTTTTTAAAATGTTAACAAAATAAAAGAAAAAAATTAAAGTAGTCCTGCCTCTTTAATGGGAGCTCTGGTGGCATAGTGCCTAAGGCATTTGACTGCTAACCAGAAAGCTGGTGGTTCAAACCTCTTTAATACAACTTGTTTTCTTTTTTCATATTTCAAAAGAGCTCCATCTAATAGGGGAGATATTATACAATGTATAATTACATAAACATGGATAGACTTGGGTATATAAATACTTTATGCATATAAAATGATACATAATTGGTGATTAAAATATGAATTTAATTTTGTAATGTTGCTTTTTTACTCGCTTATAGGTCATTTCTTAATGGTCCTACATAGACTTCCAAAATAAGTTTTTGATCCAAATTCACTCATTAATTCATTTCAAAGCAAATTTGAGTATTGATTATATATCAGGTACTATATTTCTCTGTGGGAAAAAGATGTAGCCATCTTCTTCTGTTAAGATTACAGCCTTAGAAACCCTATGGGGCAGTTCTACTCTGTTCTTTAGGATTCCTATGAGTCAGAATTGACTTGATGGCAACAGGTTTGGAGTTTTTTTGTTTTTTACTGTATTCCTGACAGAAATAAAAAGGAGAGACCTAACAATCATAGAAACCAATACATAATAATATAATGTGTTTAAATTGCTTTTGTAGCAATCTGAGCAGAAAGTTTGGGGAACGTGGAAAAACAAAGTTTGGGGAACACATTTGTGTTTTATGTAAAATGTACTTTTTTCTATATATGTCTTTCTCAACACAATTCAAGAAACATCTATTAAACATTTACTAAATACTATTTATTATTTTAGATGCTGTGGGGAAAACCAAACCTAGTTGGGGAGATAAGGGAAATAAGCCATTATAGATGTCTTTCAATCCTAAATGGAGATATATGAACTTATTCTATAGGAAGTGGGGCAAAATCTAAAAATGTAATTGTTGTTAGGTACCATCAAGTAGGCTCTGACTCACAGTGACCTTACAACAGAACAAAACACTACCCAGACCTGTGCCATTCTCACAATATTTGCTATGCTTGAACCCATCATCACAGCCACTGTGTCAATCCATCTTATTGAAGGTCCTCCCATTTTTCACTGACCCTCTACTTTACCAAGCATGATATTTTAAATCATGCAATAGCCACTTGCTCTCCTCTGATGATAGCATCCTGATCTGTGTACAGGTTCCTCATGGGTACAATTAAGTGTTTTGGAATTCCCATTCTTCACAATGTTATGATCCACATAGTCAAATGCCTTTGCACAGTCAATAACACACAGGTAAACAGAAGGCTGGTGGTTCAAACCCACCAGCCACTCCTCGGAAGGAAGGTTGGGCAATCCTACTTCTGTAGTGACATTGCCTCGGAAACCCAAGGAGGGGTCGCTGTGAGTGAGGGCTGACTCGACGGCAAATAACAACGACAACAACAAACATCTTTCTGGTATTCTTTGCTTTCAGTCAAGATCCATCTGACATCAGCAATGATATCCCTTGTTCCACACCCTCTGAATCCAGCATGAATTTCTGGCAGTTCCCTTCCAATATACTGCTGCAACCATTTTTGAGTTGTCTTCAGCAAAATGTTAGGTCAGTGACATAATTATTGCTGTGCCCTCAGAAGAATAATAAGTTTTAATAGGTACAATAGATTAGAAGAAGGGACTTGAAAGGAGACGTATGAAAATATGATTAGCCTAAAGGAAATGAGACCTTGGAGTCTGGGGGTGAGGCAGGGACAAGAGGAATGGAAATGATGAATTAAGGATTACTAGACCAAAATATTCTCCAAAGAAATGAGGGGGACACCATCCAGAATGTGCGTAAAGCCAACAAAAACTCTCCTTTGTGGCCAGTTAATGTTTGGCCATGTCTAATGTTCCAATCAATATTTCATTTCTAGAAGGGGAAGGGGGAAAACCAAAACCAAACCAAACCAAACCCACTGCCATCGAGTCATTTCCGACTCATAGCAACCCCCATTGGGTTTCCAAAGCAGTAAATCTATAAGAAGTAGATTGCCTCATCTTCCTTCCATGGAGAAGGGGGATCAAATTAGTTAAGGTTATTTTCCATAATCAGAACAATTTTTAAAACTCCTCTAGCCTTGAAAACTTATCATTTGTGATATCTCAGTGACAAAACAATAGGCCTGATAGATACTACATTCTTCTATGTGATCACCACAACAACCCCATGAGCAATTACTGGGAAGTTTTTGAAGAAGAAAGTTTTGGAGTAGTGAGGATGACCCCGAATTGGAGATTAATCTCATCTAGAACAGTACTTCTCAGTTTCCTTGTGTATCTGAATCACTTGGAAATTTTGCTGAAAATGCATATTCTGATTCCGTAAAAGTGGGGTGAGGCCTAGGATTCTGTGTTTTGAACAGTTTCCTCACTACTTCTGGTCCACAGATCATACTTCAGGTAGCAAGGACCTAGAACAGAGGTTGTCAAATTTCAGCGTAATTTGTTGGGCATTTAGCTTATTTCCTTTCTTTATTCTAAATAAGGCTGTTACTAACATCATTTGACATAAACCTTTGTTTCTTTAAATAAATGTCTTTTATATAATTTCCTGGAAGTAAATTGATGGTTTAAGGGATAGATAAATTTTAAAGGTTTTCATATATATTGCACCATTTTCTCCAGAAAACATTGTGCTAACTTATACTCTTTCCAGTAAAAATTCCCATTTAGCTCCTTTTTACTAATATTGAGTACTACTAGTTGTTTAAAATATTTTATATTTAATATATATATATTATTAAATTATATAGTAATATATGCTTATAAAGCACTCTGGTGAAGCAGTGCCTAAGGCATCTGACTGCTAACTAGAAGGTTGGCAGTTCAAGCCCACAAGCTGCTCTGCAGAAGGAAGATAGAGCAATCTACTTCCATAAAGATTTACTGCCTTGGAAACCCAGTGGGGGTCACTATGAGTCAGAATTGACTCAATGACAGTGAGTGTGGTTTTTCATATGAAGTGGTGGGTGTGAACCACCAGCCACTCCTCGGAAGGAAGATGGGGCAATCTACTTCCATAGTGATACTGCCTCAGAAACCCAAGGAGGGGTCACTATGAGTCGGGTCTGACTTGACAGCACATAATAACTACATAATATATTTAATATTTATTTAACTAAATTCCATATATAATTTGTTATTAATATATACTTTATATTATATAATTTATGTATTTCAATTATATACATTTAAATACATATAAATATTTAAAAGATCATTACTTAGCTAGGCAGGGCTCACTCGACATCTCATGTGTTTGTAATCAGATGACAGCTGAGACTGGACATCTGATATGGCCTCTGCTCACATGTCTAGAACTCAGATGGGATAGCTAGAATTTCTGGGGCACTGGCCACATGTCTCCTAAATGTTCTCTCCATGCTTCTAGTTTGGGCATCCTCACACTGTGGTGGTCTCAGGCTGGTTGGATTTCATATATGATTGCTGACTTCTATCACAATAAGCTTTCTAAGAGACCCACACAGAAGCTACAAAGCTACTTATGATTTACTGCTGGTAGTCATTCATTGTCACTTCAACCGCATGCTGCTGGTCAAAAGTAAGTAACAAAGCCAACTCAGATTCAAGAGGAAGGGACTATGCAAGGTATAAATACTAGGAGGTATGGCTTCTACTCAACACTGTGTGTTTGTGATTTGTTTTAATTGCATTTCTTTCAGAATACTTTTTCAAATGTTTATTGACTATTTATAAGCTATGCAGTTGATTCTGAAATTGTTATGAATGCTTCTTATTTACTGTAGGAGAATCCTGAAGAAGGAAGGGCCAGTATTTACAAATCAGTGATCATCAATACTTCTAAGGAGATGATGTGCTTCAGTGACTATCTCATCCCAGATCATTATCCCAACTTCATGCACAACTCCCAGATCCTGGAGTACTTCAGGATGTACGCCAAAGAATTTGACCTTCTCAAGTACATTCGATTCAAGGTAGGGAATTACATGAATATCTTTGTGTTTGAAGTTATTTATCAAATAAATTGGTAATGTGGTTTCATTTACAAGTACTTGCATTTAAAATTGACTACTGGTATGCTCTGTTTCAATCCTACTCAGACAAAAACTCTACTCTTTGTCCCCTCCATGTCTGAAAAATGTTGATAGAAAGGGCTTTCTTCTGTATACTTTGGCTGCAGATCCAGTAAGCCAACTGCTAGAATGCTTTCATTGTCTTCATTTTGATTTGACTGCAATAAAACATGAGATGAGGGGAAGCTTTTCCCCTATTGTACAGGGAATTGTAAAACTTTCACTACTCGTTTGCTATTGCTCATCCCTTTTATACCTTCCAATGCATTATTTTATATGATCACCCAACAACCCAGTAAATTTCTTACTGGGAGTTACTAAGGAAGCAAATAAATTAACTCTGATGCAGAGGGAAGAACACACTTAAGAAACAAAAACCTGAGTTCTGATATTTACTCTGCCACTAATTAACTTATGACCTCAGACAAATAAGTTACTCAACTTCAATTTCTCTTAATTTCCTTGTTTGTAAAACAAGATAATTGTACTATATCATTTCAGTGGCTCCTTCTTGCTTTAAAGTCTTCCATGGTTTTTCTATAATCCCTAATCATGATCATAAAAGCACAGTGTTTTATTTATCTAGTGTTGTGATAACAGAAATAACAGAAGTAGATGGCATTATTCTGTGAGATAAATTTAATCTCCCACAGTTAAGGAGCTAGAAGTTCCAATTTAGGGTGCCAGATCTAGGGGAAGGCTTTCTTTCTCTGTTGGTTCTGTGGGAAGATCCTTGTCTCCTTTCAACATCTGTAGATCCAGCATTGCTTGGAAATCTCCATGTATCCTGGCATCAATCTTACCCTTGGTCTAGGAGTTTCTCAGTACAGGAATCCTGTGTCCAAAGGACATGCTCTGCTCTCTGCTCTTCCTTATTGGTGGTAGTAGGTCCCTCTGATCTCCGCTCACTTGTTTGATCCCTTTTATATCTCAAAAGAGATTGACTCAAAATGTAACCTAATGCTGTAGATCGCATCCTGCCTCATTAACTTAACTGCTCCTACTCCTGCCTCATTAACATCATAACCAAAAAACAAACCAAACTCACTGCCCTCAAGTTGAGTACATCCCAACTCATAGCATCAACTCCTTGGGTCTCTGAGGCAGTATCTTTATGGAAGTAGATTGCCCAATCTTCCTTCTGAAGAGTGGCTGGTGGGTTTGCACCGCCAGTCTTGTGGTCAGCAGTAGAATGCTTTAGGCACTATGGCACCAGAGCTTTACAATACACAGGATAATTATATCAGATCACAAAATAGAGGATGATTACATAATATTGAGGATCATGGCCCACCCAAGTTGATACTCTTTTGGGACACAATTCAATAAGTAATAGGCAGGTATTTATGACAACTGGTTAAAAAAAAAAAAATTCCACATCTCCTGCCCTCAGATCATTTTGCTAAATAATGCCTTCTCCTGTTCTTTAAACAGTAACAACATGGTAATATCCAGTGGGAGGAGTCCTGGTGGTACAGTGGTGAAAGCACTCAGCTGCTAATCAAAAGATTGGCACATCAGCCTACCAGCCACTCTGCAGGAAAAAGAGGAAGTCTGCTCCTATAAAAATTTACAGCCTTGGAAACCCAATAGGGTCTCTATCAGACAGAATTGCCTTGTGAGGGTTTGGATTTTGAATATCCAGTGAGACCATCTGAAGTTAGTCATTTACAACATAGTATTGGTTCTTTTCACTTGTTTAAGCAACACTTACTAAGCAAGTTTATTACCATACTAAACAGTGATTATGCAAAGCTTAAATTAATAATAATAATAACAGTAAGCACAGGCTAGTTGGGGAACAAAGAGACAGAAGGTGAGAACTGCCATAGAGACCTATACATTGTAGCTTAAAGAAGGGACACTTAACCATTGGGGCAAGTGGTATCAGGCACCAGGAAATTCTTAGAGGAGATGGTATCCATGCTAAAAGCGGGAGCAGAGATGTGCTAAATAAAGGAAGAATACAAGGGTAATCTAGGCAGATACATTAGTCTATATGTAAAAGCAAGAACATGCTAGAGAGGAACTCTTAAGTATTACAGGATGGTGGGGCATACAGACACGGATATCTCTGTTAGTCCACTAAGTTTTTATGGTCATAGGGTCCTACAAGCACATAGGAGCACATTTTTGGTATTTCCTTAGACTGAGTAGAGTAAACGTTATTTATTTATTATCTTATATTTTTATGGTAAAGATTATACCAGACTATCCCATCTCATAGCCTCTTTATAGTTGTTTGCAGTTTGCAAAATGAGTGTTTTTGAAAGCCAAAGAGTAGTTTGTTTACATAAAATAGGAGGCACTGGAATGTTTTTCCCCCCCTTCTACCTGGGAATGGAGCCCTAGAGCTCATTCACATGTTTAAGGCTAATCAATGAGAACAGAACTGGGAATAAAAAGGCATCAGAGGGTCTCTGGATGTCTCGGGGAGAAAGAGTCCATGGAGTGTCCTAACAGCACAGGAGAAGCCCAGGCTTTATTCATGGGTCAGTATCCTAGGGTATGGTCCAAGAAACCTATTAATTAGCAATCCTCTAGAAGCAGAGGTCCCTGGGAGGCACAAATGGTTTGTTCTCGACTACTAAACTAAAAAGGTTGGCACTTCGAACCCACCCAGCAGTTCCTTGTAAGAAAGGCTTACTGATCTGCTTCTGTGAGGAAAAACAAAAACAAAAAAACCCTATGGAGAAGTTTTACTCTGTGACATATGAGGTCCCCATGAGTTGGAATTCACTTGACAGTATAAGAATGGTGTAGGCGCAGCATCTAACCTCCTCTGACTTCAAAATGGGAGAAGGGAATCAAGATCAACAGCCCAAGGCTGATTCCTTTGAGGAAGAGATTAGACATACCTCCTCTCTTCAATGCTTTTACCAATTTTGACATCAACTGTCCTTCTCACGACACTCCCACTTCTCTGCTAGGTTCCAGGATTCACAGACAATAGACTATGACAATTCACAGACAATTATGGAGCTTATTAGGGAAAAAACATGTTATAACTTGCTACCAACTTGTAAGTAACAGGAACAACTCAGGATGCAGTTTCTCAATCAGAACAGCCTCTTCTCAGCTGTGCCTGCTAACAGGACTCTGATTCTCACCTTTCAGCCCTTTGGCCCAGCCTCTGCCCTGCTTGGGCAAGTGTTCCTTTAGCTCTGACATTAAGTGCTTAGAGGCACCAACGCCACGAGTAAGCCTCAGCCCAAAGGCACTCAGCTCTTTTGCTCCATGGGCCAGGAATCCCACTGTGCTGTCTTCTGCCAGTCTTCTGGTTCTGGTGCTACTGTTAGTGCTGTTTCTCTGCCATGGCTTCTCACTGTCTCTTATCTCTAGTGTTACAGCTCACTCTGTCTGTTTCCTGGATCTAGGAGGTTCTCAGTGCAGGAATCCCAGTTCCAAAGAATGCACTCCACTTCTGGCTCTTCTTTCTTGGTAGCAGTAAGACCACCCCTTTCTACTTTTGGGATGGCTTTTTTTTTTTTTTAATTTTATTGTGATTTGGGTGTAAGTGTACAGAGCAAATTCATCTCCCATACAGCAGTTCACATACACTTTGTCTCGTGACATTGACTGTAATCTCCCACAATGCAACACCTCTCCTCTGGCATGACTCATTTTAAGCCTAGCTGGATGGCAAAACCGACCAATCCCCTCATTAGGGTTCCATATACCTTATTTCCATGTCCCATCCCCACAAATCTGCTATGCACCCTATTTACATTATTAGCAAGCTATCCAGTCCCCTTAGTGGGCAACAAGTGCATCATTTGCATAGTCCTACCCAGTCATTTGGTGAGAGTTACAAAGACTTTGGCTGGAAGGACCATATTGAGTAATTCACTGCACTGCAGTTTTAGAAACAAAGATGTGGGCAGCTATCTAAGATACAACTGTTGTTCTCTATTCTTCGGGAGCAAAAAAGAAAGAAGGAAACCAAAGCCTCAGAGAAGAAACAAGTCTATTGGGCTAAAAGCCTACATGAGCCATGGTTCATCTACCCTGAAACCAGAAGAACAGATGGTGCCCGGCTCCCACTACCAACCACTCTGATCAGGACCACGATAGATGGACCCTGATAGGATAAGAAGAAAACATGGAACAGAGCTCAACTCCTTGCAAAGTCCAGACTTACTGGGTCAGTTGAGACAAGAGGACTCCCTGAGACTATCACCCTGAGATACTCTTTAAACCTTGAACCAAAACTATCTCCTGAGGTCACCTTTTAGCAAAATAACCGATTGGCATACTAAAATAAAGGATATTATCTGTGCATATGGTGTGCCATTAAAAAACCATCTATATGATATCAAAATTTCAACAATTACTCTAAAGCAAAGATGAGATGATAAAGTGGCAGGGAAACTAGAGTACAAGAAATAGAATAACCAGAATGCAATTAGAGAGACTATTGACATATTGTTAAAAATGTAACTAATATCACTGAATAATTTGTATAGAAATTGCCAAATGGGAACCTAATTTGCTGTGTAAACTTTCACCTAAAACACAATAACTATTATTTAAAAAAAAAAAAAAAAAAGGGACAAGAACCAGAGGAGGGTGCAACATTTAGCCTACATTAGCCTAACAACTCTATTTTATTTAGCCTGCTTGACAGAAATCTTCTCACTCTGACTGCAGCAAAAAAGGTCTTATATGTGGAGTATGAAGACCAAATATTCCTGCATGGCCTTATTATGTAATGGTGCCTCTGGTCTCAGACCTTTGTGTTGCACTCTGTAAGGAGACTCATGTCAGGGGAGATGTCCACTGTATAAGTTGTACTTACGCTCCTCTGTGGCTATTTCTTTTCAGACCACTGTATGCAGTGTGAAGAAGCGGCCTGATTTCTCTACCTCAGGCCAATGGGATGTGGTCACTGAGTGTGAAGGGAAAAAGGAGGTGAATGTCTTCGACGGAGTCATGGTTTGTACCGGCCATCACACTGATGCTCACCTGCCCCTGGAAAGCTTTCCTGGTGAGTGAGCCATCAGGAAGGAAGACCCTTGAACTCTGTCTGTGACCTGACCCTTGAGAAGTGGGAGTGATCCCAACCTCAGGATGACAAAATTCTTAATTCTGCATGTGTCCCTGATGTTTGGGTACCTTGAATTACTACTATTTTGCTATTAGATGTAATGGTACTTTTGAAGATTAGAGGAAAATTAGTTTTTCTAATATCTAAAGAAAAAGCATGGAGTTGTTGATCAATGTTATGTTCAGTGGAGAATTTCAACAATCAAGGAAACAAAAAGAAATATTGGGTTTCTAAGGAAAATATGAAAACTTGAAGAAATAATTTAATTACAGTCTTTGTCCTGGTTTGTCATTTTGAAATATATATATATATATATATACATGCACATAAATACATACTTTAATTGAAATGGAAGTAAGTATTAGAGGGGATGAAAATTCTGTGTTAGTTTGGATTAATGAGATAAGGGAGCAGAGAAACTAGAGTCCTAGAAATGGAATAACCTGAATGCAATTAAAGAGAATGTTAACATATTGTGAAAAATGTAACTAATGTCACTGAACAGTTTGTGTAGAAACTGTCAAATGGGGGCCTAATTTGCTGTGTAAACTTACACCTAAAGCATGATACAATATTATTTTTTAAAAAAAAAGAAGTAGAAGAAGCAGAGGAGAGTGCACAGAAGAAACAGATCCTGAGTGAGTTAAGCAGTCTGTTTCTGATAAGGAAATCATAAATTTCTGCTCAGGCTTAGTGAAAAGAAAATAGGCAGAACTCATTGGACAAGAGAGTAGCTGAGTGAAGGAAGAACATGGGGGAGAATATGTCTATCTATGTGACTGAAGAAAATGGGTAATTTGACAAATATCCCTCAGATAAACCACTGCCTAACAATTATTTTCCCTTTCCCTGTAGGGATCAAGAAGTTCAAAGGACAGTACTTACATAGTCGAGACTATAAGAACCCATTGAGCTTCACTGGAAAGAGAGTCATTATAATTGGCATTGGAAACTCTGGAGGGGATCTGGCTGTAGAGATCAGTCACACAGCCAAGCAGGTTTGAATCAGTGAATTATCTACTGTGCCTCAACTGTAGCTAGGCATCACCAAGGAAGCTACAGGTAGACCCAAAAGAGAGTATGAATACCTGCACATAACACATCAGTGCCAAGGGCAAATGTAGGAATTGGTTTTGTGACCTCAGTTAGCAATATTATGATTGATGCTAATGGAGCCAAGATTACCAGTTAAATTTCCAGTTGTTCAGTTGACCTTACACTGAGGACCATGACCACTGTGCTCATAATCCCAACTAGCCATCTTCTCAGAGTACGCCTCTGGCTTTGAAGAAGACCAAGTAATTTCTAGGAGAGCTTGTTAGAATGCCCAGTGTAAATGGAAATAGAATGCTCAGTGTAAATCTTTGGTTGGCCAGCAGAAATGCCATATTCTTATGTGAAGGAAAACACACTGTCATCATTGAAAGCTTTTCACTCATGGACTGGTAGCTGTATTTTCCTCTTCACTCCTCAAATGGAAGGAAAACTACATAGGTATCAATATGAAAAGCATTCAAACTATAGCACACACAAGCAGCTCTCCCCAGCCTTTTTGTACAGTTAGATAACAGAATAGTGTTCACTTTAAAGCATTTTCTATCTGCTTGGTGTTTTGTTTTTTACATCATCTATTTTGAGCCAAGAAGAAACAATCTTCACTGTAAATTCCTGGAAAAAATATGCGTTATGTTTGTAATTTGTGTATTTATTAAAGCATAATTTTACTGGCAATAGGTAAATGCCAGATTGATCTTCAGAACTTAAAATATAATTTAAAGCATATTTGTGCTTTTCCACAAATATGCTTTAAATTATATTTTTAAGAATCAAATTTTAATGCCCCAACTTTGTTAAATGACCCTTACTCAGCAATTCCATTCCAATAACACTTCTCAGCATTTTCCTCATCTGTCACCACAAAAGTGATTTCATATGTTACTCCATGAATTAGTTCAACAAGCATTTTCAGGAAATTAGGTGTAGAAATAAGAAAGAGCAAAAACATGTGTGGGCACAACATACCAAAATATTTGGGACACAGCAAAAGTAGTGCTCCGAGAAAATGGGATGCTTTTGAAGGTTTATAAGTCAGAGAGTGGCAAATGCAAACATTTTTTTCCCCATGCTCCAGGTCTTCCTCAGCACCAGGAGAGGGGCTTGGATCCTGAATAGAGTAGGGGACCATGGGTATCCTATTGATACATTATTCTCTTCTCGATTTCAACATTATTTGAAGAATATACTTAGTGAATCATTCATAAACACATATATGGAAAAAAAGATGAATCAAAGGTTTGACCATGAAATGTTTGGCCTGAAGCCTCAACACAGGTATGTTCCCAGGGTGGGAGTGGGGTGGTAATGGCCAAGGGGCAAGAATAAGGACTGTTCATATAGGCTAACAGAGTTACCTGTACCCACACATTAAGAAAATCCACAGAATCTGAAATCAGATTCCTACCTTGTCCCCAACACAAGTCCAACATCTACTGGCCTGTAGGTTTGTGTGGTAGTTATGTCTGTGTGTCAATTTGGCTGAGCCTGGTTGAGTGGCTGGGTAGCTGGTGGTAGTTATTCCCTGTGATGAGACTGGCAATCAACTCCATGGTGGCATCTACCACAAGCAGCTAAGTAACTGCATTTGGGATGTGGTCTGTTTCCTGTATATAAGGAGAAGCCCTGGGAATGGTCTCTAGCTTATGGCATGCTTGGACCCTGCATGTAGCTGTGTTGTTGTTCAGCAGCCTGTCATGCTCTGCCGACCTTGAGACTTACAATGGACTTAAATTAATGGGCTGCCATGTGGTTTGTTAACATCGGGACTGTGCCTTTTTACTTGTTAACCTTGGGGCTTATCATCCTCAGCAGCCAGCAGCTGTCTGAGTGAAGAAAAGACTCTACCTTCAGTAGGCTGGGAGCTAGAGGCAGAGCTGAAGCCCAAGGCTGAGGCGCTTTCACCCAGCCCCTAGAGCTTGGCACTTTGAACTTGGACTTAAAGCCTCCAAATTGTAAGAATAAATTCCTGTTTGTTTAAGCCATCCCATTTGTGGTATATTCTTGTCAGAGCAGCACTAGGTAACCAGAACAGTTTGTGATCTGTGATTCTTTTTGGCATTTGCCATGTTCTCATTTCCCCAAATATCAGTTCTTTTTACATGATGTCCAACAACAACACAATGGTAGTAGAGAGCAGTAGATCATTCATTCATTTATCCAACCAACATTGAGCTCCTTTTATGAACCAGACATTATATTAGGCATGATAATATGGAGATAAAACACTAATACCGATAATGATAATAACTCACCCTTTGAAGACATAGTCTATGACAAGCACAGTGCTAAAGGAGTTACATGTATTACTTATTTTCACAACAGCCATATAAGTACTATTTGTATCTCCATTTTACAAATATAGACATAGAAACTTGTTGTTGTTATGTGCCATCGAGTTGGCCCCGACTCATAGCGACCCCTCCTTGGGTTTCTGAGGCAGTATCACTACGGAAGTAGGATTGCCCGACCTTCCTTCCGAGGAGTGGCTGGTAGGTTTGAACCGCCAGCCTTCTGGTTAGCAGTCAAGTGCTTTAGCCACTATGCTACCAGAGCTCCTATAGAAACTTAGAGAAGCTAAATAATTTATTCAGGGTCACACAACTAGTAAATGGCAGACTTGAGAAATGGATGTTACCTTAAATACTTGAATGAGAAGGAAAAAAAAAAAACAGACTCACTGCTGTTGAGTCAGATCCAACTCATAACGACCTGTCCTTGGGTTTCTGAGGCGGTGTCTCTACAGAAGTAGATTGCCCAATCTTCCTTCTAAGGAGTGGCTGGTGGGTTTGAACCACCAGCCTTCTGGTTAGCAGACAAATGCCTAAGGCACTATGCCACATAAAGACATGTATGGAATACTGTGAGGGTATAAAGGCAGAGTCCTTACACGACCCAGGTGGTAGATTATAAAAGAATTTCTAAAAGCCAATTTTAAATAATTTTATTCTCCCAACTTTTTTATTTTTGGAAATGTTCCATTCTACAGAGAAGTTGCAAGAATAAGAACACACCCTTAGCTAGATTTACGTATTGTTAAAATTTTGCTATATTTGCTTTCTCTCTTCCTCTCTCTCTCTCTCTCTCTCTGAAGATAGATAGATACATACATTTTTTTTGAACCATTGGAAAGTTAGTTGTAATCACTGTACCCAAAATACTTCAGCATATACCACCTGAGGAAAGAGTTACTGGATATTCTCCTATATATCCATAATACAATTATCACATCTGGGATATTTAACAAAGAGCTCTGGTGGTGTAGTGAATAAGGCATTTGGCTGCTAACCAGAAGGTTAGCAGTTCAAACCCACTAGCCACTCTGCAGAAGGAAGATGGGGCATTCTACTTCTGTAAAGATTTACAGTCTTGGAAACCCTTGGAATCGACTCATTGGCAGTGAGTTTGGTTTTTAGCTTTGGGATATTTAACACTGATTTAATATCCTTATCTATTATATTGTCCATATTCAAATTTCCCCCACTTGTTCCAATAACATTCTGTATAGCTCCTTTTAAAATCCAGGATCCTGTCAAATATCACACCATTGCATTTAATTTTCATATCTCTTTAGTCTCTTAATCTGGAACAGTTCACCACTATTTTGTTTGTTTCTTTGTCTTGACATGAACTTTTTTTTTTTTAATCATCCCAAGCCAATTGTTTTGCAGAATGTTTCTCAGTTTGGGCTTTCATGGTTGCTTTTCCATGATTATATTCAGGCTAATTATTCTTTGTTAAAAATACTACCAAGGTGATATGCCCTTCTCAGTGGACCACTTCAGGGGGCACATGATATGAGTTTATCCCATATTGTTGTTGTTATGTGCTGTCGAGTCGGATCTGACTCATAGTGACCCCTCCTTGGGTTTCTGAGGCAGTATCACTACAGAAGTAGATTGCCCCATCTTCCTTCCGAGGAGTGGCTGGTGGGTTTGAA